GAGAACCTTACACTAAGTGAAATAAGCCAGACACAGAAAGACAAATATTGCATGATTTCACTTATATGTGAAATCTACAAGAGGTGAATTTATAGAAGTAGAGAGAGAAAGGTGGTTAGAAGAGTCTAGGTCAGGGTGTGGGGGGTAGTAGGGAAGATATTGATCAAAACGAACAAAGTTTCTGTTAGAAGGAATAAGTTTACAAGACCCATTGCAGCACACAGTGACCGTAGTTAATAATAATGTATACTTCAAAATTTCTAAAGAATAGATTTTAAATGTTCTCACTATACAAAATAATAAGGATGTGAGGTAATAGATATGTTAATTAACTTGATATAATCATTCCACAATATATAGATATTAAAACATCAAACTATCTCATAAATAGATAAAATAAAAGTGTGTTTATTAGAAATAAAACCAAAAATTAAAATAAAAATATTGGGCTGTTATTTGGAGGGGAAGAGAAGTGCCCAATGAGTTGGTGTCAATAAGCTAGCAGAAGACTTTGCCTTATTCTCTATTTTGAAAGAGCCACACTGATGTTATTGTGACATAAGCTCATGAGTACAGGTCTTCCTTTTTGGGAATACAGCTGTATGAATCATCTTTATCATTTATTAGTACTTTCCAGATGAGATCATATCTTTCACCAGATGTATATTATGATTAAATCAAAGCTCTTGGATGAAGTTGCTAGAGTCAGAGTCTTCTTGGGACAAGAACAGCCCGCATCAAAAGGATAGATTCTTTTGTGGGGGAGTTTACAAAACCACAGTAGATAACAGTTGGGAATCTGGGTAGAGATAAAAACATCAAGGAACTTGAAGACTGACTGTTTCAAGGGCCCATATATTTTTTCCTTCTTTGTAGTAAGTTGTTTACTGGGACTGTCAACATTGTGGAATGAATTGTTAGTACCTTTAGTAAATTGGAGAGAGGAACTAAGACTCACTCTTCCATTCTGGGTCCTGTTTCAGTCAGAAAACAGATATAATGAGCTGATAGATAAATGGGGGATCAGAGTATTTAATTTAATAGTGAACAAGGCAAGTGCTCAATTACACCAAAACATATGTTTCTCTTATTAAAGCTAGATTGAACAACAGCATGATTCTACATCATGTACAACCAGGAGAATGAGAATTTATATCCCATTTATGTATGTTGTGTCAAAAAGCATTCTACTGTCATGTATAATTAATTAGAACAAATAAACAATTAAAAAAAAGCTAGATTGGAGAACGTGGCTGGATACTGACACAAAAATAACATCTCATTAATTTGCTGAAACAAGATTTTGAGACTTGCATGGGCAGACTCTGGCTTGAAAAGCCATCTCTAAGGAACAGAGGCTTGACTTATACACATAGCCAACAGCAAGAGCAAGAGAAAGAGAATGCGTTTCAGAGACAGAGAGAGAAAGAGAGATATAGGAAAGATAGCAAGTTTTCATATGGAGGGTATGCTGTATGCCCTAACCCAGATGTATTTACACAGGTCCTTATACATGGGAGCAGGTAACTGCTCACATTGTTTACACATTTATCAATCTGAGTGAAGCACTGAAAGGCAGAAAGAGAGAATGAATAAGACTAACTTTGTTTTCAAATCACTTGTATTCCACCCATTTGTTTAATACGGCTCAATGGATGTTAGTTGATCACTGATCACATTAAGTATTCTTCTTTCATTGGGCAGAAGCAAGTAATGGATAGACAGAGGGGCAGAATTTCCTTCCCAATATTATCTTCAAAATGCAGAAGAGTTTATGGAAGCACTCTCTTTCTGGGGAAGAAATATTCTCTTAGCAGTACTATAGAGTGAATCCTAGAGAGTGTTGAAAGTTTCTGATGTACACTGGAGTCTCTCAATGTAGATCCTCTGGGTTGCTTTGACCAGAATTATACAATATCTTGACTGGGGATTAAGGAATTTCTCTAGTGCTTATTTGATCATTATTTTACCTTTTTTAGCATGAGCTTATCTTCATCATGTAAAGACTTGAAATACTTAAATTTTCAATGATCCTTGCCCCATGAAGTTTATTCACAAATATTAATATGGGCAAGTAGAATTCTTAGAAGGACATTATGTAAGGACCATGGTATCCCCATCAGAAGTTACGGGCCCATTTTTTCTTTGGAGGGGAAAAGAAGTGCTCAATGAGTTGGTGTCAATAAGTTTTGAACTGGGAAGGCACTCTTTAAATGTAGCAGGAAATCAGATATTAGGCACCAAATCAATCATCCCCATTCATAATGCAGGAGAATTTCTTCATCGTGTGCAAAAACATTTCCAAATCCATCACAAATTTCTCTGGAATCCTAGCATAAGGTCATATAAGGCAAGGCAACTCTAAGGTAGACCAGATACTCAGGGTGTTCATTATTGTCAAATAGGTAAATTCACTTTCTAAGTTTTTCCTGATTATATAGATATTAATTGGCACTAGAAATTTTCAGGCATTGACCTGCCATAGGAGTGCTTTAGTGATCTTTGTCAAAATCAAGAATAAAATGGAATATACGGGTTGGGGTTGTGGGTCAATGGTAGAGTGCCTACTTGGCACGTGTGAGGCACTGGGTTCTATTCTTAGCACCACATAAAAATACATAAATAAAATAAAGGTATTGTGCTTATCTATCTACAACTATTTTTTAAAATATGGAACGTGCCAGGACCACCACTGATTCAACACAGTCACTTTTAGAAGTTACTGAATTTCTGGATCATTTCTAGGGAGCCCAGATCATTTGGGCACATTTTTTTTGTACTTGGAATTGAACCCAGGGGCATTTTACCACTGAGTTAAGTTCCAGTCCTTTATTATTTTATTTTTTGAGAGAGGGCCTGGCTAAATTGCTAAGGCTGGCCTTGAATTTGCAATTCTCTTGCCTCAGCCTCCAGAGTTGCTAGAATTACAGGTATGTGCCACCACACCCAGCCTCATTGGGCACATTTTAAATACAGTTAATCTTGTGAATATTAGGAAAAGTAACAAGTGAAATAAAACATTCTGGAATTTTTTTGTATATAAAAATGCTATTTGGGATATAGAATTTCTGGAATCGTGCACTAAGGAGTTCAATATATGTTCTCCATAGTCAAATGACAATTTAACTGATAAAAATTATTTTAAATCAATCATTATAAGCCTTTTGAAGTCATTCTAAGGGCATACAGAAAGTGGAAAACAATTCATTCAAGAAATGTTCTAAATCTCAGAAACTGCCTCAACTACTCCATTTCCTTCTCCCCTCTCTCAGTTTCAGATAATGAAAAGTCTACCCTGGGCATGTGCAACCAAGAAGACAGGGTTTCTTATACCCTAGGCTGGGGATACAGTTTCACCTAGGAGGAACAGGATATTGGTGTTTCTCATTCCTACCAATATTATGTTGCAGAAGCTCTATCCCATACAGACACAGCAGAAAGGACTGTGACTCTCTTCCCCAATTTATCTCCACTCATGTGGTGTAAGCTTTTTGTTGACATGCAGTTGTTCATAGTTCGTTCAAGGCAAACTTTATTTCTGCCAGGAGGGCGTGCTATCAAACCTGGAATAGCAAGTATACCTAATGCAGGGCTCCCCCTTGCTCTTATAGGAGGAACTCAGGGTTACAATCTGTGATTGGCTAACTTTAAAATTTGGGTGGGCAAAGGGAAGGGTTATAGTTAAAATGGCTACAATTGATCTTACATCCTAATCAAGGCTAAATACTATATTTTGAAAATGACCACTGCATTTTCTATTTCTCACAACCTCATGCAGTGTCACTCTGGGACCGAAATCACACAAAGTATGTTCTCCAACCACAATGGAGTGAAATTGGAAACAAATAACAAAAAAGTTGGGATATTCAGAAATATATGGAAATTAAAGAACATACTACTAAGTAATCAGTGGGTCAAAGAAGAAATCATGGAAATTTAGTAAATATTTTCAGATAAATAAAAATGATGACACAATATGCCAAAAAATCTATGGAATATATCTAATGTAGTGGTCAAAGAAAAATTTATAGGTTTAAATGCTTTAAATCAATAACCTAAACTTCTAATTTAAGATACTAGAAAAATGCAAACTAAATCCAAAGAAAGCAAAAAGAATGAATTAATAATGATCAGGATAAGGGGAGGGGAGGGAAGGGGGGATAGTAGAGGATAGGAAAGGCAGCAGAATACAACAGACACTAGTATGGCAATATGTAAATCAGTGGATGTGTAACCGATGTGATTCTGCAATCTGTATATGGGGTAAAAATGGGAATTCATAATCCACTTGAATCAAAGTGTGAAATATGATGTCAAGAACTATGTAATGTTTTGAACAACCAACAATAAAAATTAAAAAAAAATAATGATCAGGATAGACATCAATGAAATAGAGGACAGAAAGAAAAGGAGAAAATAATCAATGAACCTCAAAGTTAGTTTTTTGAAAAGATCAATAAAATTGATACTATTTTAGCTAGATTAACCAAGAAAAAAATAGAAGGACTCAAATTACTAATATCAGAAATAAAAGAAGTAATTTGTAAATGACTAGAAAATAAGAATATTTGCATGGAAAACTATGAACAACTGCATGTCAACAAATTGAGTAATCTAGATGTAATAGACAAGTTTTTAGAAAGACACAAAATACTTACATTGACTCAAGAAAAAATAGAAAAGCTGCATAGACAAATAAAAAGTAAAAGAATAGAATGAGTAATGAAGAAACTTCTCACAAAGGAAACTCTGGGCTCAAATGGCTTAATTAGGAAATTAGACCAAATGTTTAAAGAATTGACACCACTCCTTCACAAATTCTTCTAATGAATAGGAGGAAACCCTTCCCAGTTCATTCTATGAGGCTAGCATTACTCTGATACCAAAACCAGACAAAGATATCACAAGAAAACTATAGGCCAATATCCTTATAAATACAGATGCAAAATCCTCAACAGAATACTAGTGAACCAAATATAGTAACATAAATGGGTCATACATAATGATCATTTGAGATTTAATTTAGGAATGCAATGTTGATTAAATATACAAAAATCAATACATGTAATATAATACATTAACTAAATAATGGACAAAAAAGCATGATCTTCTCAGTGGTCCCATAAAAGCTTTGACAAAATTCAGTATACTGCCATGATAAAAACAGCATACTTAAAGACTAAATGCTTCCCCTATAAGATCTGGAACAAGAAAAAAATGGTCTGGTGTTGTCACTTCTAGTCAACATTGTGTTGGTGATTCCAGCTAGGGCAATTAGACAAGAAAAAAAGAGAAAAAAATGAATCCAGATTTTAAAGGAAGAAGAAAAACTATCTGTACTGGTAGGTTATGATCTTGTCTACGTAGTTTTGAAATCAACTCCAGAAGAACAGATCCCATTTTATCTGTAGGTTCCCAGAGGCTTTTAGTAATATTTACTTCATGATCTCATGAGGTCTTGCCTTTTCATTTCAAAGATGACCTTCACTACCAATAGCTTCCTCTTGTGTTTAAAAGCCAATGATGAGTAATCCAAGAGAGAATTCAAATCATTGGTGAGTCTGTAATATAAAGGCCAGAGTTGAGGGAGCAGTGCTAAAATTGAGTGTTGAAGCTTTACTGGCAATGATAGGTTATAAGGTCAGAAACTGGGAAGATCAAGAATAAGTTGGCAGGCAAAGACCAAGGCAGGTTGGGGCAGGTAGTCCATGATATAATGAAAAAATGTGTGGGCCTCAGAGACTTGTTTTTATATGAAGCCAATGTTGTGGTGTGGAGAAAGGTCTGATGACTTCCAGGAGAAAGGCCTGAGCAGTAACCATGAGACCTTCTGTCTCTAGGTCCAACATTTCATGAAAGTGAACTCAGTGCCTAACAGTTCCTACTCTCCCTGGTCTCTAATTTCTTCACAAATATAGATATGGAAATTGAACATATGAATATTTCAGGCTATCCTAAGCTCTTACTGATGCCAAAAGAAGCTCCAGTATCTGCAAGATTGGGAGGAGTATGAGCCCCTAAAGATTTCTGTTCTCCTACCCTGCATAGCACCCCCACCCCACGCCACTTCAGACTTCACTCTCCTGTGGAGGCAGCTGAACATACAGCTAAGAACTGCGAGTAGGAATTTATTTAAACCTATTTCTGAATATCTATTTTTTTGTGGTGCTGGGGATTGAACCCAGGGACTTGTGCATGCAAGGCAAGCACTCTACCAACTGAGCCATATCTCTAACCCCTGAATATCTAGTTTTGATTCATAGATCTAATTAGCCCAGCCAACCTGCATTACAAACATACCAGTTCTAATTAGTATATAATTAAAATACACACCTGGGTTTCAATCAAAATAGTAACCCTCATGTTATGGTTTAGATTTTAAATGTTTCCCCCAAACTCCTCAACTGATGGTGCTATTGGGAGGTGATGGAAACTTTGAGAGAGTGGCTTAGTTCAAGGAAACTGGGCCATTCATCTACGTTTACTATAACACTGTTTAAAAGATGTAGATATTTTTTTCTTCCTCACTCCTTTTACCACAGACTCTTCAAGATTACTTTCCAGAGGCATCAGTGCCCAGTTTTCCAATGAAAATCTGAATATGGGATGAAAAACAGAGAATCAATTAAAAAAAAAAAACAACAAAGTAGCTGGCCAGCTGGGAAAACAAAAAAAGGAGTAGGTTTGTCCTGTGAAGTTGCCAATCAGAATGGGAACCAAGTGAGATGAAAATTCTAAGGAGTCCTGGTTATACAAAGAGATCTTCCTAAGGAATAGAACAGACTATAAATAAAATATCCTGTTTCACAAGTTAGTGAATTCCCTGTTATCAGAAGTACCTAAGGCCATATTGTATGACCCTCTAAACATGGAGAAGGTAGGAGAGATTTCTCTGCCAGGTAGGAGGTTAGAAGAAAAGTCTACAAAGGTCACTTCCAACTCTACTGTATTATAATTCTGTGAGGGATCGGTGATTCAGCTCAAAATAAATTGACAACACCTCCTAGCAAACTAATGAAGGCATATTTTCAGAGACATGGCCTGTCAATGAGATAGATTAGATTCTGATTTGATGGACAACCAATCAATGAGATAAACACACCTGTGCAATGGAGATGGGCAGTGAAGATACTAGTGATGAATTCCACAACCGTCTAGTCCAGTGAATTAGATAGTTTGTCTTTGGGGAAAGGAAATTTAGAGGACACTTCCTCAGCTTCTTCTGTTTGTCCTTGGATTTGCCTTAAAATAGAAAGAAAATGAATATGCCAATCACAACATTCTCCTGGAACTTGAGATGCTATGTGCTGGAATAATTTTTCTTTCTTTGAAATATTCTGTACGCATCTTAGATCTTCATCTACAGGGTTGAATCCCCATTCTCAAGTAAATTGATGTGAGTTGCCTTATTCATTTAGCAAAGTAGGGGTTGTTTATTTTCTATAACATTCCTTTCTAAACCTATTTTTCAAATGGTTTTAAACAATGATCTTAGTTCCCATCATTCATTTGGCTCACTTGAAACAGGAGTTCCAGATTAAGGATAAACTGAACTCAGTATACTGTCTGGAAACAGAGAAAATGATTAGAAGTACTGGCCAGGTTACTTACATGGAAGACCAAGTAATGAACTTCTTAAATCTACAAATGTAATATGTCCTACCTCTATATGTTTATTTTTCTCTCCTTTTTGTCTTATTAGGTATTTATTCATGGTCTTCTTTTCCTCTCTATCAGCTTGTTAGTTATACATCCTTTTATTATTCTTTTAATAGTACTCTAGAGTAGTGGTACTCAAAGTATAGTCTATAGACCTCTGACAGTTCATGAGACTCTTCAAAAAGATCCACAGGGTTAAAACTATTTTTATAATAATAGTAAAAAGTAACTTGCCTTTTTCACTGTGTTAACATTTGCACTGATGGTACAAAAAGAAATGGTGGCAAAACTGCTGATATCTAAGGAAGAATGAAGCTGGGGCACAAAACCTAATTAGCTAGTCATATTCTTTATCAACATGTACTTGAAGATAAGGAGGGAGTCAGTTTTACTTAATGTTTTTGATGAAGAAAGTAAATTATTAAACATCAACCCTCAAATACACATCTCTCTTAGTGTTCTGTGTAACACCACTGTAAGTACACATAAAGGACTTCTAATGCATACCTAAGTATGGTGGTTGAATAAAGAAAAATTATTATACATTTGAGTTGCAAGCTGAACTAACATTTCCAATAGAATGCCATTTTTAATTGAAATAATGACTGAGAGACAAATTAATGGCATATTCAGACTTGAATATTTTGTAGATATTTTCTCAGTCAATGAAGAATGTCTGTTGCTTCAAAGGAAAGACATGGCAGCATTTGTTGCTGATAATATTCAAGTTTTCTTTCTTTCTTCATTTCTCTCTTTTTTCCCCCTATGGGGTTGGGGATTGAAACTTGTGGTGCTCTACCACTGAGCTACATCCCCAGCCCTTTTTTATTTATTTAGTTTTTTGAGATAGGGCCTCACCAAGTTCCTGAGGCTGGCCTCAAACTTGCCATCCTCCTGACTTAACTTCTCAAGTAGCTGGGATTACAGGAGTAGACTACCATGCATGACAAAATCCAAGCTTTCCAGAAAAAGTGAATTCTGTAAAACTTGGGTCCACCACAGTGAGCTTGAGAGCTTTGAATACTTAAGACTTGTGATGAAATTTTTGGAAATATTAACCTTTTTTTTTTTTCTGAGTATTGAACCTAGGGGCGCTTAACCACTGAACCCCATCCCCAGCCATTTTTTATATTTTGTTTAGAGACAGAGTCTCACAAGTTGCTAAGTACCTCACTAAATTGCTGAGGCTGGCTTTGAACTCATGATCCTCCTGCCTCAGCCTCCTGAGGTGTTGGGATTACAGGTGTGTACCACTGTGCCCTGCTAACCAGTGATTCTTGAAAAGATAAATTTGACAAGAATTTAGCTGACTAGCCAAGAAAAAAAGGAAAGAAGAATAATTATATGCCAACAAAATGGAAAACCTAAAAGAAATTGATGAGTTTCTGGACATATAATCTACTAAAGTTGAACCATGAGGATGCAGAAAACCTGAACAGACCAATAATATGTAACAAGATTGAATCAGTGATAAAACCCCAGACCATATGGCTTCACTGCTAAATTTACTAAATATTTAAAGAAGAAATAGCACAGATTTCACACAAACTATTACAAAGTACTGAAATGGAGGAATCTCTTCTAAATTAATTCTACAAGGTCATTATTACCCTGATACCCAAACCAGACAAGGACACAACAGAAAAAAGAAAACTACAATAACTCCAATGAAGAATAGAGACAAAATTCTCAAACACTAACAAAACAAATGCAAAAGCAGATATAAAAAATATCATACAACATGAACAAGTGGGACTTATCTCATGGATGGAAGAATTGTTTCACATATGCAAATTGATAAAAGAACATATCACATCAACAGAATGAAGTATAAAAACCATATGATCATCTCAATATTTGGGATTATAGGAGTGTACTACAAAAAAGCATTCAATAAAACTCAACATCGCTTCATGATAAAAACCTCAAAAAATTAGAAGTAATAAACTTATAGAAGTAATAAACTTCAACACAATAATCACAGTATAGGACAACCTAGAGCCTACATCATACTGAATGGGGGAAAGCTGAAATAGTTTCCTCTAAATTCAGGAACAAAACAAGGATCTTTACTTTTAGCACTCCTATTCAATATACTATTGAAAGTCTTAACCAGAGCAATAAGGAGGAAATAAAGGTTATGTAAATAGGAAAGCAGGAGATGAAATTATACCTGTTTGTGGATGACATAATTTTATACATAGAAAAACCTAAAGGCTCCACCAAAACACTGTTAGAAATAATTAAAAAATTCAGTAAGATTTTAAGATATTAAACCAATGTCCCAAATCAGTAGGTTTTATAAACTGACAAACTTGTATGAAAGAAATTATTGAAGCAATCCCATAGCAATAACTACAAAATAATATCTAGGAATAAATTTAGTCAATGAAGTGAATGATTTCTAGAATGAAAATCATAATATATTGATGAAAGAAATTGAATACACAAAAAAGGAAAAGATCTCTCATATTTATGCATTGAAAAAATATTGTCAAAATATCCATTCTTCCCAAAACAATTTATATATTCAATGCAATTCCTATCAAAACACCAATGACGTAATATATGTACATGACATCCAGGTTGGCTAGTTCTCAGAGCATAAATTAGACATTCTGCATGTTGCTGAAAGCTTGGTCCTTGTCTCTGATGCCAATCCAATAACAAAGACACAGTTTTGATAAAAGGACTCTTGTCCCAAAGGCTATGATCTGCCCATCAGCAGGAATAGGGGACTTTTAAAGAGGTGATTCAAAGGCTACATTCCACATGTTCTCTGTTGGAGTTGTAATTCACTTGTTAATTTAGGAGATAGTCATTTCTGAGATCTTCTGGTGCCATCCCCCAAATCTGGATTACTTCTTTTCTGGCTCTGTCTCTATTTCTTACTAATTATTTCAGACATTTTACTTCCCAGGCAGCTTACACCTCCTGAGCAGGAACCTACCCTGGCAGGGAGCTGGTCACCCCACAATGGGATATAGTCAAAGCATCAAATGAATCCTTGTTACAATTCCCCACTGTCAATTTCTAACTTCCATTTGTATGGGAAGTAGGCAATGACATATCCAAGCTACTTCCTGCTGAAAGGGGGCAAAGTTGGGGGAAGTAACCCAAAGTCCTTGTTCTCTATCAGGTGGGGTGTGGACAGTTAAGGGCATTCAGCATCAGAGCAGTCCAGAGATCCACAGTGATAGATGGCAGGTGACTGGACAAGGTAAATGTAGGGCAGAGATCATGCTAAGACAACAATAAAGACAGAAAAGCATTACTTTTTGTAAACAATTAGCATAAAAACATTTCAGCCAGTCTCTGAAAACCATGAGGACAGTAACTTAATCTTATTAGTGAAAAACAGATCAAGTTCATCAATGTAAGAGGTTTGGAAGATTTGTAGGTCTATGAAATCAGATTCAAAATAAATCAGGACAAATTTGGAACTCTTGTGATCATTACTATTATTAACTCTCACATAAAAACCCTTCCTTATAACCTCCAGCTTTACTGACTTTTGGTAGGGCTGATGGAAGTATATAACTTAAGTAAAATTTAAAAAAAAATTGTTTTCCTTTTAAACATCCATGAAGGACTGTGCTTTTAGGCTATACTCTCCTGCCAGGTGTTTACGACCAAGTTGGTCAAAACTGACCTTGTTCTTATCTACTTCTAAGAGTCAGCTGAGATTATTCAGAGATCACTCTTTGGAGCATGTGTGAAGCCTCCTGGCTCCTTTAGCTTTCCTCTACCACTGGTGCCACTTGCCAGGATGGGTCAGTCAGGGTCTGGCTGTCCATATGTGGCTTCTCTTGGAAGCATTAGGGATATTTCCATCTCCAATGACCCTCCTCTTTGCAGAATGTTCACTGTTTGGTTTCTCCCCATCTCCCTGATCAGCAAATCCGGTGACTCACCAGAGTTGTAGGCTCAGAGAGAGATTTTGTCATTCTCTAGCTCCTGGTTTACCTTAGAGGGCAAGAACCAAATGTTGCATTCTTTTTCCTTGGCCCTTTTACTTCCTTGACTGTGGTCTCCAAATTTTTGGTTTTAAACACTCAGCAAGCCAGTTTTACAGTCTTAAGGAGGGAGTAACAGGTTATAACTTCAATATCTATAATTTTACAGTTACTCCTTTCATTTAATTGGGGTTAGCATTAATACTAGAAGTCAGTGTTATATACTATCTGTCCTATAGATGATGACTTATTATCTCAAATTAACCCAGATTTTTTTAGAAGCAGTACCTTTGAAAAACACTAACAGATAACTGTTATAAAGTTTATAAGGAAAATACAAAATAAAATTAACAGAGCAAAAAACACATTCAGTTTGTGTAATAGCTATGAACAAAGAAAAAATATTTTTATAATCTTGAACCTCTACTTAGTTATATTATATCCCATTTGAGATCACAGTAATCTTTACAACAAAAATCAATCTTTTGAATACAACTTTAAATGAGCTGAAGTCTAGCCTATTTTGGAGCCATTCTAACATGGAGTAAGGTGGGAGGCAGTGTCTTATCTCAGGTAAGGTGGGGCTCATCACAAATAACACAATACAACATTATATTTGAAACATGA